ATAAACAAGTGCATAAAAAAGTGGTACAAAATTGTGCAGCTTCACCCTGGCTCCACCTCCTGTCCAGGACCTGATACAGCCCTTCTATAAACATTCGACACCCAGCCCCAAACAGGGCTTCATCTCAGCCTCAAGACAGCCCACATTCTCCCTTTCATATGTACCTGCCTTCATGAATAAACCTCTGTCCATGCCTCTGTCCAGAATTTCCGCATTATTCCTGTAAGAGCGTGATGTATCTATTTCATTCTTAGTCAATGCAGTTGTATCAAACAAAAACCAACTCAGATATCAATGCTGAATCCAGACACTAGTGACTTGCTACTTCACAGACACAGTAAGTGGGACTGAAAGACACTAAGACCCATCCGCTGTGTGTTTTTGTTTTCTTCTACCCAACATAAAGTTCTCTACCTATGTCCTAAGTTTTTAAATATAAGGTATACATTCAAGTGATGTAAGAACAAAATATATAAAGACATAATGTTAAGTTTGTTTTAAGATTAGAGTGCTGTTTTCAACCATGGAGGGGCATGTGGTGAGGTCCAAGCAGGTCCTGGAAGGGGCCCAATAGCGTGATCTCTGCTGAATGATCATCAGCCTCCCCTAGTGTGACCTCTCTTGTGATCTGTGGTTGTTCTTCCATAGTGCATACAGCAGGCACCCGCCCTGCTCTGCCCTTGATCACCAGGAATCCAACAAGGAACTGCACCATGGGCAAGCTCTCTTCTGCAGTGACAGGGAAGAGTAATGGCTCTTGGCTTATTGATGGAACAGCCTGTCAGGATTCTCCTGTGATTCCCAGTGTCCATGGTCAGACAGCCCAGTGCTACCAGGGTGCAGTCTTTCCTACCTAACAAACAAGAGCAAGTTGCATAATTACAAAGTTCTTTTTATTGTAAATTAATGATATATGGGGCATGCATTTTCAGAGTGGGACAATGCACACAAAATGAAACTGATGATAGAGAACACATTGCTCACCCTCTGAGCCTGGGAAGCTCTGAGCGTCAGTCCATGGTGCTCTGGTTTCTGGCATCCTCCTCCTCATCCTTATCACCACCAGAGACTTTTCATGGTGTTTGGAAATCTTTTTTCTATTCATTCTTTCTGTTTTTTTTTTTTTTTCTTTTTTGGTACCAGAAATTGAACTCAGGGGTGTCTAGCCACAGGACCATATCCTTAGCTCTTTTCAATTTTTGAGATAGGACCTCCCTATATTAATTAGGGCCTTGCTAAGTTGCTGAGGCTGGCCTTAAACTTACAATCCTCTGCCTCATCCTCCCAACCCTCCAGGATTACATATACACACCACTGCACCAGGCTAGTGAACACTTCTGAGGACACATTTTGTACTCTATGGAAAACAGAAGCAGTGTGAATGGAGAGCACATTTTAAATAAGATATCTAATACCCAAGCAAAAAATAAAAACATAAACTTTTCAAACGAGATGCATGAAAATTGACATACTGAAAACTCCCATCTGGATACTCAAACTGTGATGTTTGTCCTTCTGATAGAGGAACAATACATTCCATATTTCTTCCAGGGTCCCAAGGCTCCATCTGCACCTACTGGGTTATACTACTTCTCTGCTGGCCCATGATAAAGAAGTGCATATGCCAAGACCCACCCATACCTGGTGCCCAACAAAGGCTCAGACTCTGTTTCTAGCATTCCCATGAATATGCTGTCAGCTGTGAGCTTCCTGATGCAGAACCACAGCAAGACACACAGCCATGCAGCTCACTGGATAGGAACCATGCACTGAAGGGCTGCAGGCACAAGCTGACTGGGCCCTAAAATGTGACCTTGGAAGCTCAATGCACAGAGCTCATTATTGGACTAATTGGTCCATGCAATGACATCTCTAAGGAATTCTCAACATTAATGCAGGAAGATGAAGAAAAGAAAATGAAGGTCCACTTAAGATTTGAACCCTAGCTATAATTGGGACGGACTTTGTGTATTCAATTTAATGTTCTCCCTTCTGTGTTTTAAAGATAATCAGCATTTAATGTCTACTCTTATTATAAATATGCAATATAAATGTAAATAACAAAACATTGCTATTGGAACCTAATGAGCATATGCTTTAGTTACATTTATTTGGTCATTATTTTTTTTTAAATGAAGCATTCAGTCATTTAAAAAATGTTGGTCTCCTGCTCAGGACAATTGTCAAAGGACTCTGCAGCATTGGAATGATGAGAAACTCTAAAGTGTGTCTCAGAACAAGCTCTAGGGTCTCTTCTCACTCTCCTCTGTTCCTACTTTACGTTTCCTAGACTCATGGACATGTCTGTCATTGTTCTTGAGTAACTGAAGTTTGTAGGCGCTGTTAAGGAGAAGTGTAGGGCTTGTGTTTCAGTGACCAGACACAAACAAGACCTGTTCAGTCAGCGAAAACCAGCAAAGGGAGGATCTACACTAAAGGGACATTCAACCAAATGAGAAACTAAATCAATTTAAAAACCAGAAATACATCAAAATGACAGGGAATACAAAACATATCACAATAATAAACTTGAATGTCAATGGCCTAAAGTCATCAATCAAAAGACATAGATTGGCAGATTGGATTAAAAAGCAAGACCCAACAATATGCTCATGGGCAAAGACATTTGCAGGCTGAAGATGAAAGTATGGGGGAAAAACTTATCATTCCTATGGATTGCATATACAAGCAGGGGTTTCCATTTTCATCTCAGATAAAGTGGAATTCAAACCAAAGTTATCAGAAGAAACAAAGAAGGACATTTCATACTTCTTAAGGGATGTATATATAAGTAGGACATAAAAATTATAAATAGTTATATTCCAAACAATGGAACATCTATATACATCAAACAAACCCTTCTCAATTTCAAGAGTCAAATAGACTACAGCACAACAATACTGGGTGAATTTAACACACATCTCTCATTACTGGACAGATCTTCCAAACAAAAACTACATAAGGAAACTATATAACTAAATAATACAATCAATAATTCAGATTTACATACAGAATCCATCAACAAATGTATATGCTTTCTTCTCAGAAGCATGACTCTTTCTCTAAAATAGACGATATCTTATGCTACAAAGCAACTCTTAGTAGAGAGAGAGAGAGAGAGAGAGAGAGAGAGAGAGAGAGAGAGAATACACTACATTCTATCAGACCACAATGGAATGAAATTAGCAATCAATGATAAAATAAAAAAATACAAGCTACTGTAACAAATGGAGACTAAATAATAAACTATTGAATGACAAATGAATAGTAGAAGAAATCAAGGTTTAAATAAAATTCTTACAAGTAATTTTGAGAACACTGACATAATATATCACAATCTTTGGAACATCATGAAGGCAATAGTGAGAGGACAGTTTATTGCATTGAGTGTATTCATTAAAAGAATAAGAAGTTAACAAATAAATGAATAAAACTACATCTCAAAGCCCTAGGAAAAAAGAAGAAGAAGAAGAGGAAGAAGAAGAAGAAGAAGAAGAAGAAGAAGAAGAAGAAGAAGAAGAAGAAGAAGAAGAAATCAACACCAACATGAGTAGAATACAGAAATAATTAAAATCAGAGCTGAAATCAATGAAATCAAAACAATTGAAAAAAAGTGATAAAAAAGTTGGTTCTTGGAAAAAAATAAATAAAATACACAAACCCCTGGTCATTCTAACAAAAAGAAAGTGTGAGAAAACTCAAATTACTAAAATACAAAATGAAGAAGAAAATATCAAAACTGACAAGTTTGAAATACAGAAGATAATTAGAAACTATTTTGAAAATTTATATTCCAAGAAAATAGAAAATATCAAAGACATTAAAACATTTCTAGGCATATGAACTACTCAAACTGATGAGGATGTCATACATGATTTAAAGAGATCAAGTTCAAGTAATGAAATTGAAAATGTCTTCAAGAGCCTACCAACCAAGAGAAGCCAAGGACCAGACGGATTCTTTTTTTATCTTGAAACAGTCACATTTGTAACATAGTTTCATTGCCTTGGTTAATTGTATTGTTAACCTACTATAGACGAAATTATTTAACATAGAACAGTGATCTCAAATTTTCATTTTTTTGAATATTTATTTTTTTTTTTATTTTGGGTGCACACAATCTCTTTTTTATTATTTTATTATTATTATTTTATTTTTATTGTTTTTTAAAAAATAAATGATAGTGGAATGCATTACAATTCTTATTACACATATATAACACAATTTTTCATATCTCTGGTTGTATATAAAGTATGTCAGCACAAATTCATGTATTCATACATGTACTTTGGATAATGATGTCCATCACATTCCACCATCCTTGCTAATCCCCTGACCCCTCCCTTTCCCTCCCACCTTTCTGCCCTATCATATCTGCTGTACAGACCCCTCAGTGCTCCATTAATGTCCCTGTTCCTAAGGCTGTAGATGAAGGAGTTCAGCATGAAGGTGACCACAGTGTACATCACTGAGGCCACTGCACACTTTTTGGGAGAATGTGACACAGCTGAACCAATGTATTTGTCAATGCCTGTTCCATAAAATAAACAAACACTTCCAGGTGAGAGCCAGAGATGGAGAAGTCTTAGTACTTCCCTCCTAAGGATGGGATCCTCAGAATGGAGGGCATAATATTATAGTAAAAGAAAAGGATCCTGGAGATGGAGGAAAGGCCATATGTTGTAACAAAAAAAATACTTGAATATGTTATCAGGGAAGTGTCAGAACAGGAAAGATTCAAAGTTAAGAAGGATCACAGAAGAAACTAGAAATTTCCACATCCTTGAAACTGGTAATTTGTAAGATCATCAAATTGTGTATCTGGGAGTCCAAAAGACTCAGCAAAAAAGACTTCAAAATTGTGAAGCCACAGAGGTGAGAGTTTATTATAACCGGGTAATGCAGAGAGTGACAAATGGCCACAAACTGTCATAGGCCATAAGAGTTAGAAGCATATAATTCATACATCCAAAAATGGCAAAAAGAGACATCTGTGTCAGTCAGCCCACATCAGAGACAACTTCCTTATGAGTTTGAATGTTCACCAGCAACTTTGGGATCGTGGTGGAGATGAAGCAGATGTCAGTGAGGGACAGGTTGGAGAGGAAGAAGTTCATGCTGGTGTGGAGGTGGGAGTCAGAGCTGACAGCCAAGATGATGAGCAAGTTCCCCAGCACTGTGACCAGGTACATGGACAGGAACAGCCCAAAGAAGATGGGTTGTAGGTCTAGGTCAACTGAGCGATCTATGGGGTGGAATTCTGGGATGCATGTTAGATTTTGTACTTCTATAAGTCTCAGACATCTTTTCAGAAAGCAATGAGAATGAGAAAAAGAATACATCAGCAGGCCTCCCTGATTCTGTGTGCATTTGAGTTCAAGTATGCACAGCAAAGCTGCTCACACTAGACATTCACATACCCTCAACATAATTCTCAATAGTGCAAAACCCAGTCTTGCACATTCTTTCACTATAGCTCTCTCCATAATTCACCCCTCTTTCCATTCCTGATTTGAAGACATTGAACTGAGCAAAGTTAAAAGCACAGGAGCAGAAGAGAGAAGTTCAATAACATAATAAAATCTAGCCTATGGTTTAAAGAAAAAACAGAGAATAAGTAATGACCTTTCAATTAAGAAAAAGCAATCTTCATAAAAGTTAATTAAGAACCAGGACATTTTACCTCATTTTGGTCTTTGTACCAAAACAAACTTCTTTGACTTATTCTATTTAAGACACCATTGGGGCTCCATTCTCTGACAACTTAATTGAGAGTGATGAGCCATAGACAGAGAGAAGGTTATGAACCAGTTATCTTGAAAGGGTTTCATCATTCGTTGATTTTTCACTTCCCTCCCCTGTGAGTTTAAGCTTGCTGTTCAAAAATTATGTAATATGAAACAAGTATCCTTGTCTTTGGAATAATTCAAATGTCAATAAATATGAATTAAATGCACATCATCAATAGTAATACTACTAATGTGGCAAAAGTAGACAATATTACAATTACAAATGATAGGAAATACTTTTGAATAGTTTAATTTTATACAGGCTTTTTTTCTATTCATACAATATCAGGAAAATATCTGGTAAATAAAACAACACATTGTGCTTTTTCTCCCTCTGACCTGTTAAAACTGCTTCAGGGTTTTGTGATCTCAGCTCATCAAGTTCAAAATATAAGATTTTTGCACCATGGGAAGCCCTAAATCTCTCTCTTATTTCCAACCATCTTATTTCCACTTTATGGACATCTGGTCATTCCTTATATGTGGATTTCAGTTCTCTGTCTTAAGCTACATGATGACAAAGCTGTTTTGTTATGACAGTTCTCACTGTGATTGAATTAGAAAACAATTCATAAAAGGTAGTACAGGAAATAAGTAAACACTTCTGGGCAATTTTCAAATTTTAATATAGGAAAATAATTATCTATCTTGGTTCTCATAAGAAATTATGTTTTACCTTTCCAATTGCATATCTAGTGGTTGTGTCTCATTTATTACCACATCCACTTGCGGATATTTTAGTATATCCATATAATGTGGCATCAGATCTATACCAATTTAATCAACATATCTGCATGTGAAGTTCAGGGGAACTTTCTTACACTAGAGTTGGAAACCAATGTCGAACAACATCCTGGCACATAGAACAGGTTCCCTGAATATTACCTATTCTTATTGTCAATACCCTCTACCTATATTAAAGCATAAGAATTTGATAATACTTGTCTCAGGACTATCCTTGAATAGAAATTGTACAATTATCTAAGATACTTGAGCCTTAGTATTTCTTCCTGATTCCATTCTCCTGCAAACATGTCTCCCAAACATACTTATTATTATGAATTGGGAAGGTGTAATTTTCTGCCAGTGTTTTCTATGTCAGCGTTCATTTACACATCCATCAATTTTTTTCATTAAAATCCACCTATAGAAAATGTAGTCTGCAACACAATACCCATTGCCCACCAAATCTACTAGTATAAATTAACCTGAAGTCTTAATTCCATTTGTGAAGTATATTCATAGACTTCAAAGTCTCTATTGGATGCAAAGTATCACCTGAAGAATGGCATATTCTCTACATGATAACACCTGAAAAATTTTGTCTTGGATAAAGGATAATATTTACACTTGGCTCCAGTAGAGGAGATGGTGCCCTGGGCTGGGTCAGAAAGGCTACAGCTCAGTCCTATCACACTGACCCGCCAATGTGTGCACAGTGTATGAATCTCTCCATCTCCCTCGCTCACTGCTTAATGAAAATAGGGAAAATCACACCCATCTCCTAAACATGGAGCAACAAAGACAAGGCAAGAAGATAGTAAATTTGGTCATTGTGATTTTAATTTTAAGAATTCAATGATTAGGGAAATACCAAAGTTAGGAAGGAATGCTATTTTCAGGTGATCCTGGAACCTTGAAGGATGTGGAATTCTGATCTGTGCTTCAGTTGAAGGCTCAAGCTGTAGGTGCCCCTTCTGTTTCTACTTCATTTCCTTTTTAAACTCATGAAGATCTGTCATGATCCCATCCAAGTTGACAATTGTAAATGATAATATAAAATAATAAGGAGGATCTATAACTGTGATAGAGACACAGAAAGACACCTTAAAGTTGTCATTGTTTCCACAAGGCATGGCTTAAAGTATGAACATACAGACAGGAATCAATAACCCCATTAATCCAAATTGATTTTGGCCAATTAAGGTAAGGAAATGGGAGAGGGTTGGGTTTCAATGCTCCACAGACTTGCTCTAGATGCCTCCCAGTGCCAAGCAAAGCAGGGGCACAGGAGTCAGAATAGAAGGAAGGAGATGTTTTCTTCCAGTACAGCACACATGCATCTCCAGGGTCTATTTAATCCTTACTCACTGCAGTGATGTCAACTAGAAATCAACTCAGATGAAAACAGTGACCTGCCTGACTTCACAGAGACAGTAAGTGGGACTGGCAGACTCTGAGATCCATCCACTACATGTTTCCATTCTTTGCCACCTAACAGGAAGTTTTCAGCATAGGTCCAGAGGTCTTAACCACTGGCAAACCTCAGGTACATTTTTTAAACCTTTCCAGTTTCATTAATAGGAATGAAATAAAAACCCTGACCATAGGTTTGCTTTGAGTATGAAAGAACTTTTTACAAGCATGGAGGAGCATGTGGTGAGCTTCAATAAGGTTCTGGAGGAGGCCAAAGAGTCTGATCAGTGCTGAATTATTATCAACCTCCCCTACTGTGACATATCCTGTGACCTGTGACTGTTCTTACATAACGCATGCAGTAGGTGCCCCCACTGCTCTGCCTTGTGATCCCCAGGATTGCCCAGTGGAAGAAAAACACTCTTTCTGCAGTGACAGGGAAGATAAATGGCAGGTTGGCCTGCTGATGGGACAAGCTGCCAGGGTTCTCCTGTGAAGTCCTGTATCCATGGTCAGACAGCCCAGTGCAAACAGGGTGCACTCTTTCTCACCCAACAATAGAGTACGAGTTACAGAAGTAAAACACATTTTTTCCTTTTTCTATGTAATAATAATACTGTGGACACATATAACAAAATAAGATGGTGCACATGAAATAAGAATGAACAGGTTCCTCAGCACCTGAGCCTGGGAAACCCCGCACATCAATTCATGATCTAGTCTCCTGTCATCCCCTTCATCATCCTTATCATCACTGCATAGTCCTTTCCTAGAGCTTAGGAAACACTTCTGAAGGACTCATTTCGTGCTGCTGTGGGTGAAATTTCTGTGAGAACCCCAACCAGTGTGGGTGGAGAGCACAGTTTGAGTAATATTTCTCATCTCCACCCCAAAACAAAAGCTTGCACAACCTTGGGGTTGAAGCTGCACGCTGGTGTCCTCCCACCTGGCTTCTCTGTGGTGAGTAGTTGAGGTAACACTACTTCCCACAGTCCTTCCTACATCCAAGGCCCCATCTGCACTTACTGGGTAACACTACCACCATGCAGGGTCATGACCAAGAAGTGCTTATCCTGAGACCCTACCAAGTGTGGAGCCCAGGAAGGAGCAACTGTGTCCAGAGGACTAGATCATGTGTTCAGTAGCTTCCTGATGCAGACATCCCAGGAGGAGGCACAGCCATGCAGCTCACTGGACATGAACCATCAATGGAAGGGCTGCAGGCACAGGCTGATTATCAACTATGATACATATGATATGACCTTGGAAGATCTATATACAGAGCTTATAATTAGAATAATTGGTCCAAGAAATCCCAATCTCCAAGGAGTTCCCATCACTAATGGGGAATACAAGGAAAATGTATGTCCACATGATTTTTTGGATCCTAACACTAATGAGGAGCTAAGCTGTATGTTCAATTTACTTCTTTAACTTCTACATTTTTAAAGATACATATTAAACATCCATTCTTATTAGGATAATATATAAATAATAAAAATTTGCTCTGGGAACCTGAATAAGTCTACCCTTAAATGGCATTTACTTATTCATTATGGTTTTTATGTTTTGGGTTTTTTTAAATTAAACATTCAGTTTTCAGTTATATAGTGGGTCTGATGACCAATAAAACTATCAAAGGACATTGTAGTATTAGAACAATGTGAAATTCTCAAGAGTATCTCAGAACAAGTTCTAAGAGTCTCCCATCACTTCCCTTTGTTGTTACTTTGGTTTTCCTATGCTCATGGAAACCTCTGCCATTGTTGAAGGTTGTATATGTTCACAAAGGGAGGTATGGGCCCTGTGTAAGGGTAACAGAAACAGGAGCTGCTCAGTCTTGCCTCTGACTCTGGGACATTCCTGAGTAGAATGAAGGTACATACAGGAGAGCACCCATGTGTTGAAGACCACTGAGCAAAGCCAACCTGTTTGTAGAGCAATGGCCTATTCAATATTTAACATCAATATATAATAGAATTATAATATATAATAGAAAAAAATATATATATATATCTCTTCTGTGCCTAAAATGGTGTAAGTTTGTGGGTATCAGAAAAGAAAGACAGTTGGTCATTCCACCCCAGATATACAGCATGAACTTACATAAGGGGAGTATGAAAATATAACATTATAGAAATAACAAAATAATAAATTCATTTCAAAAAACATTTCAATTGAATAGTAGGAAGTTTAGCCTTTCCATATGAATAAGAACTATCTAACATTTTGTCCATATTTTGCACTTTCATCAAACATCAGTCACATAGGAAATACACATTTTCAGTTTAATGTGGATTCAATGACATCGTATCAGCTATAAACCACTTTGGATGACATTGCTGAGTATCATAGACACTAACAACCTGCCAGGTATTCAAGAAAGAACCAGCTGGGACAACAGAAGCCCAAATTAAATTTTAAGTCTCTGGATCAGATGTACTAATCTCTTCACTGTTTTCCAAAAATCAGAGCGCTGTCAACAGAATCCAGAGGTCTTAGCTGCAGGCACGTATCAAATACAGACTTATTTCTTTGCAACTGGTAATTAAATCCTGACCTGCTTTTGGTTTCCTCTTTAAATTGAGTGAGCTGATTATCAGCACGCATGAGGATGTGGCAGATGCAAGGATGTCCCAGAGAGACGGACACAAGGAGGTCTGTGTTGCATTATCTGTGCCCACTTGACTTTAGATCTTTGTCTTATATCAGCCATTCTTCCATAGCTGGTGGAACTGATGCCACTGGGTGCTCTGGCCTGGGATCTTCCAGAATTCCCACAGGGAAGTGCATAGAAAAACAGGGTCCTCTCCTGGACTGACAAGAATGTAAAACACAGGAGGATTGTGGAGGGGACAAACTGCCAGCACTGTCCTGCCAAGATGCCATGTGCCTCAAACCCACAGTGCATTTCAAACATAGTCTCAGTTAGTTAATCTAAACAGCTAGCACAAGTTACTAAAAATTCTGATCCGCTTGATTCTGTGAAATAAAATTTCATGGCACTTATACCTTGGTGAAATTTTTCAGACAAATTTAAAATTTTAAATTTTAAATTAAACAATCTACAAAGAGCTCACACTTCAGGCACTCAGGGATCTCTCATTGAAGGATCATATGTTTGTGTGCTGTCCTCATCCAGGTCCACCTCCTCCTCATCACCTATATGGACATCTCTCAGTGCTGAGGACAGTGTGAAGAGCACATTCCCTCCATGTGGATGACAGTTTGTGGCAAGAAGGATCAGTGAGGGAGGAAAGGAAAACTGTAGTGACATTGCCGCCATGCTCACCACCACCGTGGATGTCACACACATGCCTCGACTCTCAGTCACCATGACTGAAACTGTTCAGTGCTCTACCTCTGGGAAGCCACACTGCATGTTGGTCCTTCCTCCATCCTCACCTCCCTCATCAGTTACCTATTTACACTGGCTCAGGTGGTAGTGACTAAGGAGAGTGGATTCCAAATATCTGGTACCCAGGGGCCTCCCACCTCATCTTTAGGGCTGACATCTGTGCACACTGAGGTGGGGACCTCCTAAGACATTTCCGGGGTGAGAAGACACACAGTGTGGGGCCCACCTGTCTGGAGCCATGAAGCTGAAAGCTTGGAGGCACAGGCTGCCCATTGACTATGGTGTGAACTTGGAGGCTCAAAGCATAGAACTCCTGACTGGCCACTAGGTGAGCATATCACAAACTAAGGATTTCCTAACAGCAATGGTGGAAGAATAAGGGTAGAAAATGAACATAAAGTGATGTTTTACAGTAATTTTCTGTGAAACAAGTCCATTTACACTATTGGGTTTTTTAAACATAGTAGCTTCTGAAGAAAATTTTCATTATGGCATTTTAAAATTATAAATATTTGTCATAAATGTCATCATCAATAGCATTAAATATAGACTTTGTTGTGATACAATAACCATCATCCATCTCCAACATTCTTCATAGTACCAATATGAATCCTTGTTCCCAGTAGGAACACTTCCCAAATTTGCCAACCAACATGGTCTGCACCATTCTACTATGGAACTTGATGGGAAATTAACACATAAGGTGCATATTGACAGGATCAGGTATTTAGCTTTACTACATTTTCCAACACATATTGCAACCAGACCCCACAGGGACAAAGATCAGACTGTCCACCTCTGCAGCCTCCTCAAGGCCCTTTTAATGTCCCTGTTTCTCAGGCTGTAGATGAAAGGGTTCAGCATGGGGGTGACCACAGTGTACATCACAGAATCCACCACGTCCTTTCTGGGAGAATGTGATGCAGCTGAACCAAGGTATACTGCAGTACCTGTTCCTAAAAATAAGCAAACACCTGCCAGGTGAGAGCCACAGGTGGAGAAGGCTTTGAACTTCCCACTTAAAGAGGGGATTCTCAGAAGAGAGGACATAATTTTATAGTAAGAGAAAAGGATTCCTGAGATGGGAAAAAGACCATATACAGCAGCAAGAAAATACTTGTCAATGTTATTAGAGTAGGTGTCAGTGCACGAAAGATTCAGAAGTAGAGAAGAGTCACAGAAGAAACTGGAAATTTCAACATTCTTGAAGTTGGTAATTTGTAAGATCAGCAAATTGTGCAGCTGAGAGTCCAAGACACTCAACAAAAATGACACAAAAACTGAGAAGCCACAGAGGTGAGGGTTCATAATGACTAGATAATGCAGGGGGTGACAGATGGCCACAAACCTGTCATAGGCCATCACAGTCAGAAGCATATAATCCATACAAATAAAAATGGCAAAACTAGACATCTTTGTCAAGCATCCTTCATAGGAGATAAGTTCATTGTGAGTTTGAATATTTACAATCATGTTTGTGACCGTGGTGGAGATGACACCAATGTCAGCCAAGGAGAGGTTGGAGAGGAAGAAGTACATGGGGGTGTGGAGGTGGGGGTCAGAGCTGATATCCAGGATGATGAGCAGGTTCCCAAGCACTGTGACCAGGTACATGGACAGGAACAGTCCAAAGAGGATGGGCTGCAGGTCTAGGTCCTCTGAAAGGCTCAGGAGTTGGAATTCAGAGACGCTGGTTGTGTTTTGTGCTAGTATACTGCTTGGACACCTTTTGAAAAAACAAAGCAGGTGTTACAAAAAAATACATAAACAGGCACCCCTTATTCTGTAAGCATTTGAAATTAAGTATGTACAAGGAAGCTGCTCACACTTTAGGTCACTACACCTTCAAAAAAATTTGTCAGTAGTGAGACTCCCAGTCTCTACATACTCTTTCATTCATTCTCCATAATTCACCCTCTTTCCATAGTTACATTTGCAGCATTTTCATAAGCAAAATTAGAAATCCAGGAGCAGAGTAGAGAAGAAGTTCATGATCACAATAGAGTATAGCTTGCTGTTTAAGAAAAAAAGGAAATAAGTAATGACTTCCTGTAAGAGAAATTAGGAAGAAATTGATATACCTCATTTGGTTCTAAGGCCTTGGAACAAATTCCTTTGACAAGATATTTGTGACTATGTAATGACTTTTCCTGACAACTAAATCAAAGGGGATGCATCATAATCAGAAAGAAGTATGCTCTATTTTCTGAAAGGGGTCTCATCAATCTTTGATCTTCTCATTTGCCTCCTTTGTGCATTTAAGTCTTCACTTTAAAAATTATATAACAAGAAATAAGAAACCTTGCCTATGATAAACTTCAGATTTTGATAAACAAGATTGAGTCATTGCACGTAATCAATAATAGCATTAACCACAAATGTGGCACTGGTGTGCAGTGTACCTGTCAATTATATTTAAATCCTAGACTGTAAAATCTCCTTTGAATAGTTTTATTTCATGCAGGTTTATTGTGTCAACCAATACAATATCAGCAATGTATCTGTTCTATAAAATGGCACTTAACTTTTTCTTTTTCTTGATCCTGTACTTCCTCTAGCCTGCCAAAACTGCTTCATGGTTTTATGATCTCAATCCATCAAGTATATTTTTTTATGGTCTAAGAAAAAGGAAAGCCCTTAAACTCAAGTTTTATTTCCAATCTTCTTATTTCTTTATGGATTTTCTGGTCAGTCATTCCTGACACCTTCATTTCAATTCTTTTATTTAGGCTGCATGAAGTACACTTGGGTTCATTTTTATTTTTCACAATGATTGAACTGGATACAGCACAAAACAGAGTATAATAAGAAATAATAAAACAACTTCTTCAAAACTTCCTCACCTGTAAAATGGGGTAATAGTTCCCAACCTTGTATGGTTGTCATCAGGAAATTATTTTGACAAATCATTCAAGCTGCATAACTTGTAATTCTCTCCCACTATTAAGTGTCCCTGTGTATACCTTTGAATATCTATACACAGTAATGTCAGACCAACACCAATTATATCTGCATGTCCACATGTAAAGATCTCCACAGTCCTTTCTTATACCAGATCTGATATCCATTGTCTAACAACATCCTGACATAGAACATGCTCCATGAATATTATCTACTATTATTGCCCATAATACCCATTACCTATATTAAAATTTGTTAATCCAATAATATTTGTGCCAGGACTAACAGTAGCAAGAGATCTGAATCATTATGTAAGAAATTTGAGTCTTAGTATCTCTACCTGATTCCATTCTCCTGCACACCTGTCTCCCAGCACATCTACTGTCATTAAATGGGAGGTGTGATATTCTGTTGGTATTTTCATTTCAGTGTTATCTACCATACATTTTCCTTTACAAAATTGCTTTAAAAGTACCTAAAAATACTCACCTAAGTATTCTGCAGATCAATGCCTATTGCCCAAAAATATACCAGGTTACATTAACCTCAGGTGATAATTCCTCTGTGAAGTACATTCCTCTTCTTCAGTTTTTATCTGATGCAAAGAGCTACCTGAAGAAAAGACCCTGCCATTTAGTAGGATTGTTTATTAATATGGCAATGATTTCAAAATTTTCTGCCAATTGACTTGTCACTGAAATAAGAATATGCTTGCTTTGTCAACACATATATTAAATTGGAATGATACAGAGAAGATTAGCATGGCCCTTGTGCAAGGATGACATGCAAATTCATGAAGTGTTCCATATTAAAAAAAATAATTTTCCATAACATCTTGGTTGGGGATAGGAGACTGATTTCCAATGGAAAAAAATGCATGTTGAAATTTGCTATTAATGACCTACATTTATGTCCCTATAAGAGCAGACAATATCACCTACATCTTCTCAATCCTAATATGTTTCAGGAAAATGAAGCATCAGCCCAAGTAGTAATGTGCTGTCCTTGAAGAGTCCTGAAGAAATTTCATCTTCTGCAGGGAATACTGTTTCCCTCTGGCTGCAGCAGAAGAGCTGGTGCCCTGGGCTGGAGTCAGGAAGGCAGCATTTCAGACCCACATTCCACCTGCAAGTGTGTGCACAGTGTGTGAATCTCTCCTCCTCTCCCTGCTCACTGCTTGAGGAAAACACAGATTATAACACCATCTGCACAACATGTGGAGCATCAAAGGGAAATGTGGAATTCAATAAATATTTGGTCACTATGTTTCAATAAACAAATTCCATGATTAGGTAACTATCAGCATTATGGAGGAAAGCCATGGTCAAGGGCACTGGAGGCTGGAATGAGGTGAAACTCTGACCTGTGCCTCATGGAAGGCTGCAGTGTTAAGTGCCATTCAGCTTCTGCCTCATTGCCACTCTTCAAATCCAAGAAGATTTCCATCATGATTTCTGAAACTTTTTTTTACTGTGGATGACATTAAATAAAACTAAATAGTCCCTATGTCCAAAACATGGACACAGAAAGACACTATTTTAACTTCTGTGGGCACTGCAAAAAAGAATGAATATTCAGACAGGAGGCCACAAGTCTGATCATCCAAATTCATTTGGCCAATTTAGGATGGAAAGGATGGGTGGGTTTAATGTCCAACACACATGCTCTAGACACCTCACTGTGCTGAGCAGAGCATGGATCCTGGAGTGTAAGAAATAGGAAAAAGGAAACTGTACTAAAATGTACAGCACATGCATCTGTAAGTCCAAAAATAAAGTGTCCCATCCAGAAATAGGACCAGTCACTTCAGACCACTGAATGCATCTGTTGAGTGGCATTAAGATCAACTTAGTCATGCTAACAGTAACAATAATGTCCAGAAATTTTGGCCCAGATTTTATTCACATATCTTATATTATACAGAGAATAGCACCAAGTATCTTTTATCTTTACTCATTGTAGTTGCATCAGTGGGAAATCAACTCAGATGGCAAGGCTGACTCTAGACCCCCATGAAACTAGGGACTGCCTTACAGACATAGAGATTGGGACTGACAGACTCTAAAATGGATCAGTTAATTTTTTTTTTTTTTTACTTTCCCACTTAACAGTTTTCAGCCTAAGTCCACAGATCTTAAACACTAGTAAATCTCAGGTACGTTTTATAACTCCTTCCAGTTTTTTGAGTGGGAATGAAATCAAGACCTAATATTAGGTTTCCTCTGAGATTCAGAGGGCTGTTTTCATCTGTTGAAGAGCATGTGGTGAGCTCAAGAAGGCTATGGAGGGAGGCCAGGAGCATGATCTATGCTGAATGACCATGAGCCTCTCTTACTGATCTCTCCTGTGACCTGTGGCTGTTCTTCCATAGTGCCTGCAGCAGCCACACACACACACGCACACACACACACACACACACACACACTGCTCTGCCCTGTGATCCCCAGGAATCCCACAGGAAAAGCACCATGAGCAAGGCTCTCTTTCTGCACTGACAGGGAAGAGAAATGGCTGGTGGGCTTGCTGATGGGACTGCCTGCCAGTGTTCTCCTGTGATGGCCTGTGTCCATGGCCAGACAGCCCAGTGCATATAAGGCTGCATCTTTTCCTATCTAGCAAAGGAGTAAAATTTACATACGTAAAACACAATTCTTCTTTTTCTATGTAATAATAATGAAGTGTATAAATATAACTAAAGTGAGATGGTGCTACATGAAATGATATAGAACAAGTTCCTCAGCACCTGAGCCTGGGAAGCCCTGCACCTCAGTTCATGGTGGTCTGGCTTCTGTCACCCTCCTCATCATCCTTATCACCTCCCTAGTCCTTTTTCAGAGTTTAGGAAACACTTCTGAAGAACTCATTTTGTACTGTTGTGGGTGAGATTTCTGCGTGCATTAGAACCAGTGTGGGTGGAGAGCGCATTTTGAATTTTGATCTCCCCACCTGAGACAAAAGCTTGAACCCCACAACCCCAAGGTTGAAGCTGCACGCTGGTGTCCTCCCATGTGGCTACTCTGTGGTATTTGCCCCTGTGCTGAGGTAACACTACTTCCCCACTCCTTCCCACATCCAAGGCCCCCTCTGTACTTACTGGGTCACGCTGCTTCCCTGCAGGGTCATGACCTAAAAGTGCTGACCCTGAGACCCTACCAAGTGTGGAGCCCAGGGAAGGAGCAACTGTGTCCACAGGAACAGATCATGTGCTCCGGAGTTTCCTGATGCAGACACCTCAGGAGGAGGCACGGCCATGCAGCTCACTGGACAAGAACCATCAACTGAAGGACTACAAGCACATTCTGAGTGAGGACTATATATGACCTTGGAAGATCAATACACAGAGCTCATAATTAGATTAGACTAATTGGTCCATGAAATCCCCATCTCCAAGGACTTTCCATTATCATCAATGGGTAAGGCAAAGAAAATAGTTTTGGTCCCCAACACTAATGAGGAGCTCT